TGGAGGAGGAGGAGGAGGAGGAGGAGGAGGAGGAGGACTAGGAAATAGAGGAGGAGGAGGAGGAGGAGGAGAAGGAGGAGGAGGAGGAGTAGGAGAGGAGGAGGAGGAGGAGGAGGAGGAAGAGGAGGACGAGCGAGGAGGAGGAGGAGGAGGAGGAGGAGGAGGAGGAGGAGGACGGGCAACGAGCCACCCTGGAGCTTGTCCCATGTCCGTAAGGTGTGCAGGCCCAGCAACAATCGAACGACAACTTCTCGGACCGAGGTGCACACTGCTCGGTCCCAGCACCACTTGCTGCTCGGTCCCAGATTTGTTCTTCCGACTGCAATCTTGTGGATGCGCCCTCGGACACTGCAGGAGCCCTTGGATCGGCATCGAGAGAAAGGAGCTGGTGCCAAGCACGGGGGCGGGCAGATGTGCTTGGCCGGTGAGCGGCGGCCACATCTCTTGCTGGCACGGTGCGTGACAGCGGGCGCTCTCGGAGAGAAACGGGCCCGTCGGGGGCTGCCAGGATAGAGCCGGAGCTCGACCACAAGAAGCCCGACCCTGAGACCCAAGGATATCAATTGATGTTTCGTGTGGGAACGTCACGCTTTTCACAGCAAGCCGATCCCCCCTAAGCGTCACACTTGGGGGGATCTACTGACCCAGTCACCCGATTCCTGAGCGTGGAAGGCGCGGCGTTAGAACAATCTGCGAGTATGTCCGACGTGAATGCGAGATTCCTGCATCAATTGTGAGGGTGTCCCGCGCGGGAGCACGATTTTGGAATACACTGCGAGGAAATATCAGCCGGGAGTCGTTGTTGTTGTAGCCAGGGTGCCGACCATACAGTTTGAGCAAGACAGTTTCCCTGATGGGAAAGAACTTAGGGTGCGAGCCCCGAGGAAAGCACTTCTATTGAACAACACAATGTGCACCGGGGGACTAAAACAAATTAGACTTCAAGAATTAGAATTCAATCATCCGTTGAATACTGTTCGTTCTCATCTACTTGCGCGCCGTCCAACACGTATATCCCAAACCATCGGTACCCGCCCTCTTCGTCTTCGATCGTGCCGCCTCTTGGGGAAATGGATTCCTGCCGCGTGTACATGGCGCAACCCCATACAACAGAAAACAGCAAAAGAGAAGTGACAAAAACAAGGGGGAGGCATCATGATGGAGCGCAAGAGGAATTTGCAGGAAGCGGGTTAGAAACAGCAGCGCAAGAGGCAGAACCAGCCTGGCGCGTCAAGCAGGCGGACCCTAACGGGCAGGTCGGGGGGGCGGGCCAACACGGCGGGGTCGAGCGGGCGTGTCACTAAAGCGTCAACCCATCATGAACGAAAATTGGAGCAATAACGCGATTCCCAAAGAAATCATCCGGGGATCCAAAGCGAGAGCGTGATTTGTGACTCTTGGGGGTACGGCGCCGCAGTGCATCCGCCGACCTCAATTCTTGGGGCCACGACAGGCGCGAGCGAACGGGGGTCACGAGGGGCATACGTAGCAGCAATGGGGCCACGAAGGGCAGGAAAGGGGCCACGACGGGCGCGAGCGAGTGATGGTCACGAATGGCATACGTACGCGGGGCCACAGAGAGCAGCGAAGGGGCGGCTGAGGGCAGCAACGGGGCCGCGAAGGGCAGCGAAGGGCCGACAAAGGGCGACAGCGGGGCCACGAAAGGAAAGCATATGGGGCCACGACGGGCGCGAGCGAGCGGGGGCAACGAAGGGCAATCGCGCTGTGGCTCGAGGCTTCCTCGCGATTCATGCGCGACTGACGCTCCAGCGACCCGCCCGCTCGACTTGGCCGCCTGGGCCCGCCAGGCCCGCCCCGCCCGTCTGCATCTGCCGCTTGTGACACCCCCGCCTGCTCATCTCTGTCGTGCTCCATTCTTACCTCCCCGATATCATTTCCCCCTCCCCTTCCAATGTCTTACAGGCTGCGCTCACTACGAGTGGCAGGCGAGAGAGATATACCCCAAGAGGGCCATCGTCGAAGACGAAGAGGGCGGGTATCGACGGTCCTGAGTATAAGTACTCACTGACGGACACTCGAGCCTTTGACACTGAACAAGATTCACATGAGTGTTGTTGTTGCTGCTGCTGATGCTGCTGCTGTTGTTGTGGTTGTTGTTGCTGTTTAACCCTCGCTTCCGCATGTTTTTTTCAATTGAAACGGCCCTCTCTGGGCTCACACCCGGTTTTTTAACAGGGAAAGCATTGAAGTTCAGAATGCGATGTTGGCCCCCCGAACTACCACAACAACGGCTCCCGCAGAATAGGCTTTCACCAGTTTTTCTGAATCGAGCTCTCGCGCGGAACGTCCTCCGAATGCATGCAGGAGTCGGGCTCTCGCGTGGGACCTCCACGGCATGCACTGACACGCCGCGCCCCCGAAGCTCTCAGGACTCCCGCTCCCGCCCTCGACTCCCTCACGCTCTGCTTTTGGGAGTCGCGCGGTGTCGCTCGAGAGCTCTTCGCGATTCACGCATGTCTGCTGCTTCTCTTCCCCGCTGATTATCCCAAGCCCGTTCCCTTGGCTGTAGGAATCTCGCTAACCCATTCATGCGACATGCATGTCTTCTGCTCGAGCGACCCGCCCGCGAAACCCAGCCGTCCGGGCCCTCCCGCCCGACATGCCCGTCGGGCACCGCCCGCCCGGCCCGCCCGCCTGGCTCTGCCGCTTGTATATGCTTCTGCTCCGGGCCGCCCTCCTGCTGGTCCGTCTCGTCCTCCATCCCAGTCCCTCCCCCTTGTCCCCTCCCTGCTTCCTCCCTGCCCTTCCCTCCTTGTCCCTCCCTCCCCCTTGTCCCTTCCCTCCTTCCTCCCCTCCCTCCCTCCCCTTGTCCCTTCCCTCCTTCCTCCCTCCCCCGGTTTTCCGGGGCCGCTCGAGGTGCGCGGGACAGATGGGGAAGATGTGCCCCCGAGCGAGGGGGCAGGATCGGAAACGAAGGATGCGGGCATCGAGGGTCTGGGATACACGCGTGAAGTGACACACGAGCCAGTCAGAGCAAGCACTCAACAATGTCTTGTTTCTGCCCTTGTCGTCGTCCCCCCTTCGACCCACCCGCGACCCAGCTCTCGACCCACCCCGAGACCCACCTGCGACCCACCCCGCGCCCGCCCCCTCCCTCTGATCCGCAACTGCAGGGTGCTACTTGCCCATTGTTGCCGTAACCCATTCCGATCGCACCGAACGACGAGGCGCACAACTGCCCTCAACTGCCTGCTGAGGGAGCCGGCCGTGGGCGCTCTCGCCAGCGCTGGCGCGCTCTTGTCAGCCAGCTTTGGCGCGCTGGTGCGCCCCGCCGCACTGGCGTAGCATTGCTGGCGCGTTGCGCTGGGGCTTGGTGGCCCTTGGAAACGGCAGAGCCGCTGTTTCATCGCTTCCGGAAATCTGGCCCTTGCCATAAGCGGACCTGGGGCCGGAGCCGCAGCAAAAGCGGCGATACAAAGAATCCACACAAACAAATAACTCTGCGACGGAACAGCACAAACAGAAACGGAAAGAAGGAACGGGACACGGGGACACAAACACGGTCGCATCGCTTCCAGGGCCCGCCACTTCGGTGACCACTCGTGGGAGCCCCCGAAACGATCTTGGTGGCTCTTGCGAGTTGACGCTGGTCGACGCTGGTCGGCGCCAATCGACGCCAGGCCAACATTGATCGACGCCACTCGGCGCGATCTCCTCGATGACCAGGCGCTGGCCCACGCCGGTGCGCTCCAAAGACGGCACGGCGAGGGCAGAAGACACCAGGCTCCCACGAGTGGCAGCCGCACGCGGCAAGAGCGCGCCCTGCCACCACTCGGGCGCCCATTCCCCGTGCACTGGTCGGTCTCGTGCGTGGTCTTCCCCACCCCACAGGCTGGGGTCGCTGGATGTTCTGAGCAGGCCTCCGAACCCGCCCGCCCTGCGGCGCCCGAGATTCCCTGGTGGTCCCACACCCTCCTCCCGCCCTGCACACCGCGGCCGCCAGAGCCCCCGGCTCTCGATAATCCCTGGTGGTCATGCCTTCCGCGCCGACGGACCCACTCTGCATACCGCAGTCGCCAGCTCCCCAGGTCCCCCGATCATCCCTGAAGGTCCCGCCCCCCGCGCCGACTCGCCCACTCTGCATACCGCGGCCGCCAGATCCCCAGCTCCCGCATAGAACAGAGCATAACACCACACCACCGAGCAGAACATGTCCGCGCGTAACATACCATATCATGACAGACCACACCACAACATAACACACACTTGCAGACCAGTGCAAACCACAGCACAGCATCACATCACACATCAGTGCACAACATGACAAAGCAAGCATACCACAACAAGCCAACGCAGAACTGAGCATGCCAAACCAGAACATGCGACAGCCTCGCATAGCATGGCATAGCATATCGTAGCACACCGCATCAGAACAACGCATGCTATGACAGATCGGAGCGCCCATACCATGACTTAACACAGCCTCACAACACATTTGTCACGAAACATCACAGCATCAACTAACATTCCCTGACTTTACGCACCACAGGGTACACCACAGCAACGCAGCATAGAGGACATTACATATCAAATAGCAAGCCATATGACAAGTCATAACATGGCCGAGCGCGACATACTATGTTACATCATCGCAGAACCTGCCATACCATACTGCCGACAGCTATGGCAGCATGGATCATATAGACTATGCCATAGCACCACACCTCATAACCTACCATAGCGTGCATATCATAAACATACCCTAGCAACAGGTACCAACACACACCATACCAGGGCAGAACACAGCACACCGCAGCGCAGCACCCGAGCACACGGCGTTACACACCCACTGCAAGCACGACGTGCGCACCGCTGGGGACAAAGGCCGAAGGCTTCGCTGGGAGTCGCCCGACGCAGATGTTGCCCCGTGATCCAGGATGCTCCGCGACGGCCCTCGTCGAGAAAAAGCAGTGCCCGCGGCCGAGTGACGGCAAGATCTAAGAGAGCGCCCTGCCGCCCCGCAGGGAGAGGCCCCCCTCTCAGCCGACGCACGCGATGCCGCTGCGGAGGAACGCCTGCGCCAGGGCGTCCGACATCTTCGCCCAGTCGGGGCTCTCGCGCGGCGGCTGGGCCTCGCCCCGGGGGGGAAGGGGCGCGCCGCCGCTCGAGGAGGGGGGGGGGGGGGGGGGGCGGAAGGCGAGGCTGCGGCGGTGCGAGGAGACGCCGCGCCGACTTCCGCCGAGGCGAATGGGGTTGGGGAAATGAGGGGGAAGGGAAGGAAGGAAGGAGAGGGAGAGGAAGGAGTCGGAGAGAGGAGGGAAGGAGGCAGGATGAGAGAGAAAAAGGAAGGAGGGAGGAGTCCGAGAGGAGGAAGGAGGAAGGAGAAGCAAGCAGGAGGAGGAGGAGGAGGAGGAGACGACTGTAAGAAGGCAGGTAGGAGGAGGAGGAGGAGGAGGAGGAGGAGGAGGAAAAGCAGGAGAGGAAGGTGGAGGAGACGAGGAAACAAAAAGAGGAAGGGAAGGAAGAGGAGGACGAGGATGGCAAGGCGGGAGGAGAGGGGCAGTGGCGAGAGACCTCCCGGAAAAAGGCCTCCAGACCCGCCTCTCGCACACCCTGCGCACACCGCGGCCGCCGCCCCCCCAGGGGCCTCTCGGTGCCCCCGTGGGTGGGCCCGGCAGGCCCGCGCAGCGCGAGGGCGTCGGGCGCTGGGCTTCGGACGCCGCTCGCGGGCCAGCCTCCACACATCCGGAGGACCGCGGCGCTCGGGCAGCGCAGCTCGCTCGGGGCCCTGGCCATCGCTCGGGCGTCCATGCCCTGTTGTTGTTGTTTCGGTCTCGTGCGTGGGTTTTTCGCGAAGTGATCAAGGATGCTCCTCGATGGTCCTCGCCGAGGAAAAAACGCACACGCCCGAGCGATGCCAAGGGCCCCTGCGGCTCGGGGCCGCGGGAGGCGCCTCGGCCCTGCGCGCCTGGCGCGCGGGGGCCGCCGCCTTTGCCCAGGGCGGCGCGGGGCCTGCCGCACCCCCGCCTCGCGCGTCGTCGGCGAGGGGCTGCAGGCCGCCACCGCGAGGCCTCCCCCCCGGGGGCCAGGCCCTCCCCGGGGGGGGGGGGCTCCCGCCTCGCGCGCTCGGGCGGGCGTGGGTCGAAGCTCGATGCCGCGCTGAGCCTGTGCTGCCGCGCGGCCCCCGTGCCCGTGCGCCCGGCGGCGGCGTCGGGATCCTCGCCGGGGGCCCCCGCGGAGGCCGTCTCGGGACCCCGGCGGGGCGAGTCGTCTCCTGTTCCGTCGGTTCGGTCCGGTTCGGCCTGCGGCGGGACGGATGATGCCGAAGTAGAAGGCAGAACATCCACCCCGATAGTAACCACCCCGACACGCGGAGTCGTTAAACAAACGCGCCCAAAGAAGGACTCAAACAGGACAGGGCTGCTTGGTAACCGCCCAGGGCGGTTCAGTGAACGCCGATGGTCTGGTCCGGGTGGCGTTCCTCCCCAGGCGAGGAGGAGAGATAGCGGGCAGGAGGTGGCCATACACGCAAGAGCGAAGCAAAGGCGGCCCGAGGCCCAGAGCCGGAGGAAGCCGCGGCCGAGGCACCAGGCGCACGCAGCAGAGGTGTGGAGGCCGCCCAGCACCAGAAGCACCGCCTAGCCTCCTCCTCCTCCTCCTTCTCCTCCTTCTCCTCCTCCTCAGGGTCTTCAAACGGTTGTCTTCAAAGGGTTGTCTTCAAACCAGGCAGTTCCCTCAATGGAAATGAACCGTTGTAGGGGCCTGTGAAGAAGGAGCTTGGAGGGAGTGTGCAGTCCAACATCGTTGATGACTCTTAGGTTTACGCTGGTCCTCCTCCTCCTCCTCTTCCTCCTCCTCCTCCTCCTCCTCCTCCTCCTACTCATTGTCCTCCTCTTTCTCCTCCTCTTCCTCCTCCTCCTCCTGCCCCTCCTGCCCCTCGTGCTCTGCCTTCGGGTGCGGGCGCCAGCTGAGCATCGTGTCCTTCCACGTGCCTCCGCCCATCCCTGGCTCCGGGCCAGAGGAAGACGAGCCGCGGGTGCTCGCCAGCGGGGGGCCCAGGGAGCGGGGGGGTGAAGAGGCGGGCGCCATTCGTGTACCCTCTGGGCCCGCAGTGGCAGCAGGCGGCAGTTCAGCGGCAACTCGCGGCCCTTTCGGACCACGTTCCTGCAATCCTTGGCACCCCACGTGGATTGTCCCCTCGTTGCCACCCGCCCGAAAGTCCACGCTCCCTCGGCTCCGTGCCCCCCGCTACTCCTCTTCGGGGGCTCGGACTGCTGCGAGAGGCAAGCGTCGTATCCGGCTGGTGTCGCGATCATCACCCTTGCGTGTCCTCGGACGCCTGAGCTGAAACTTAAGCGGGCCTCGACATTCACCTACGAATCTGCGCCCGCGCACGTCACGAGCACCGACCAAATCCGACCAACGTCAGCAACAAACACTAGCATAGCCGCCCGGCCGACGAAGCTTCCCGCGCCACTGCGGGAAGGATAACAGGAATATGTCGACCCCTTTCCCAAGCTTCGTGGCGTTTTCGAATGGACCAACACAAATTCGGACCCAACCCTGGGATATACGAGGGGGGGCGTCCATCCTCGATAGGGGTGCGTCCGAATAGCCCCCTGGGGGGTGTATCCCAGGGTTTCCCCATCCTTTCTGAGCCGCTCCATTTTTCGTCGAAACGTCGGGGGCTGGGATAAAGAGACATCGCCTGCGAGAGGAGCGGCGGGCAGAGCAGGGGTGGCCTTGCGAGTGGCGGGGTGCGTGTCTGCATCGGCCACCTCGACGCCGTCCTTCTTCGCTGCCACGGGCACCCTGGGGACGCCGGCCTTGCCCGAGTCGCCGAGGGCCTGGCGCGGCAAGGCCCAGCGGCGGACAGTGAATCACACACGATCGCCGTGCATTCTACATTGTCCCAGCAGGGCTGTTCCCATCGCACTTAAGGACCGCATCCCAGAAATAATTTCGAGCACCCGGAAAAGTCTCAAAAGAGTGACGAAACAGTGTCGAAACAGTGTCGGGCGAGTGTCTCCCAGGGCCCGACACGTGAAAACCCTCGAGTTTCGGTACTTTTTCTGGCGCTCGAAACTCTTTCTGGTGATCAAGGCTGAAATCGGTTGGAGCATCTTAACTCAAGCTTCACGATCTCGATAGGAGGCTGCACAAAGTGGGCTCTGGGAAGATGGGGTCGGAGGATCGCCCGCCGAATCCGCGACGTATCGGCGACACGCGCGCACAGTCACCGATGCATCGACGACGTCGCGGACTCATACGCACTCGAAACACGATCCTGGCGTTGGGTCCAACCGTATGACGCTGCGGGCACCGCGAGGCAAGTGAGAAGAAGCAGTGGGAAAGAGCGAGGGGTGTGCCAACGTAGGGCGGGTACGCCTCGAGGACCCTGCCGCTCGGGCCACGGGTGGAGATCCCCGTGGAGCCACGGCAGGAGCGTGAGAGGTGAGCCGACTTGGCTGCGGGCACACACCCTGCGGACCCTGCCGCCGGGGCCTCCGGTGGAGCTCCCCGGGGGACCACGCCACGTGCGAGGGGCGTGCCGAATCAGATGAGGCCTCGCCCTGCGGACCCTGGCGCTGGGGCCTCCGGTGGAGGCTCCCCTCGGGGCCGCGAAGCGTGCAAAGGGGTGTGCTGACTACTATGGTGCGGGCGCGCCGTGCGGGCCCTGCCGCTGGGGCCCTCGTCGGAGGCTCCCTTGGGGGCCACGGAGCGTCGGAAGGGTGTGCCGAGTCGGGTGCGGGCGGGCCATGCGGACCCTGCCGCTGGGGCCTCGGGTGGAGCTCCCTCTGGGGGCCACGGCACGTGCGCAGGGTGTGCCGAATCGGGCGCGGGTGCGCCATGTGGATCCTGCCGCTGGGGCCTGCGGTGGGGCTCCCGTCGGGATCACGAGACGCGCGAGGGGTGTGCCGACTCGGGCGCGGGCACGCCATGCGGATCCTGCCGGTGGGGCCTTCGGTGGGGCTCCCTTCGGGATCACGAGATGCGTGAGGGGTGTGCCGACTCGGGCGCGGGCGCGCCATGCGGACCCTGCCGCTGGGGCCTCCGTTGGAGCTCCCGATGGGGCCACGAAACGTGTCGGGGGTATGCTGAATCGTGCGCGGGTACGCCATGCGGACCCTGTCGCTGGGGCCTTCGGTGGGGTTCCCTATGGGGCCACGAAACGTGTGAAGGGTGTGCCTTATCGGATGCAGACCCTGCCGCTGGGGCCTTCGGTGGAGCTCCCTATGGAGTCACGAAGCGTGTGAGGGGATTGTCGAATCGGGTGCGGGTGCGCCATGCAGACCCTGCCGCTGGGGCCTCCGGTGGAGTTCCCGATGGGGCCACGAAACGTGTGAGTGGAGTGCTGAGCCGGGCGCGGGTACGCCATGCCGACCCCGCCGCTTGGGATTTGGATGGAGCTCCCTTCGGAGACACGAAATGTGAGCGGTGTGCCAGATCGGGTGCGGGTGCGCCATGCGGACCCTACACCTGGGGGCGGGGCTTCGTTGGAGCTCCCAGTGGGGCCACGAAACGTGTGAGCGGTGTACCGGATCGGGAGAGGGTACGCCGTGCGGACCCTGTCGCTGGAGCCTTAGGCGAAGCTCCTTTTGGGATCACGAAACGTGTGAGGGGTATGCCAACTCGGGGGCGGGTGCGCCATGCGGACCCTGCCGCTGGGGCCTGCGGTGAAGCTCCCTGTGGGGCCACGAAGCGTATGAGGGGCATGCCGAAGCCGGTGCGCGCACGCCATGCGGGCCCTGCCGCTGGGGCCTTCGGTGAAGCTTCCCCTCTACGGGCCACGGAGCGTGTGAGGGGTGTGCCGAATCGGGTGCGGGTGCGCGTGATGCCGCGTGATGGTGGTGAGATGAAGGCAGCCGAAGGGCAGACGCAGGGACGGGCACGGGCACGCTCACAGAGGGCGCGAGCCAAGACTTCGAGCAGGCCGAGAGCGGAATCCGCCGACCCCTTGGGGTGCCTCCCCCCCCAAGCCCCCTCCCCCGGGCGCCCAAGTTTGACTCCAGACTGGCCCAGAGGTCCCCGAAGACGCCCCAAGAAGCCACCAAGAGGCGTCCCAAGAGGCCCTCCAGAAGCAAAAATCGTCTCATTGCCTTAGGAGCCGTATATTTTTAACTCGTTCGCCTCTTCTGCTTTCACGAAGCCCACAACGGCCCAGGAAGCCTTCAAGATCGACCCAAGATAGCCCAAGAGGCCCCCAAGAGGGCTCCAAGACTGCCCAACAGGGCCCCAAAACTGCCCCAGAAGCCACCAAAACGGCCCAGGAGGGCCCCAGGACGGCCCCAACACGAGGCCCAGAGCGAATGGACATTTCGAGCACTCGGCCCCGAAAAAACCTGAGGAGGCGCCAAGTGGCCCCCAAGACTCCCACGAGGTCCCCGAGAGGCCCAAAAGAGGCCCCTAGAGGCCTCAACACGGCTCTCAAGAGGCCTCAAAAGTGCTGCCAGAAGAACCCAGATAAGCCCGAGATCAGAGCCGCGAGCCGCTAACCGTCCCCGACGAAATCCCAAGAAGCTGAAACCCCAAGATTCCCAAGAAATCGCGCGCGTCCCGCTAACTCCATGTTTCACTCTTACTGCCGCCCTAAGGGGTCGGGGGTGCGGCGTCAGTCAATGAATCAGCTCTAGCTGCTCGAGGTGTCTGTCGTACGGCCCATCGGCGCCCAGAAGGGAGGTATCCCTGGAGCCAGGGTCGACCAGCTTCCACAAGATTGTTGGGCTGCTAAGCGATAGCTGGTGGGGAGTCACAACAATTTCGGAGGCGCCAGCACCCTGGATCAGGAGGGAACAAGTCTAGCAACCTCCGAGAGTGAAACGACGAAGTCGCAAATCTCTGACGAGAAGGGGGAGAAGGAGAGTAGAGGAAAAGAGAGGAGGGGGACGCGGGGCGCTGTTTCTCAAAAGCGAGAACCCAACACCACAGGGTGGCTGGGAACATTGAACATAGAAATGACGATGGTAGGCCTCCCCGGCGCGCAACCCGGAATCCGCCGCCACCGCGCTTGCACGGAGCGGGCATGTTGGAATGCTTGCTGATGTCCAGGAGGTTTCTTTACATTTCCAGGGCCGACCCCCCAAAAAAAATCGCGCGCGTCCTCGAAACATCGCCCCCCCCCTGAAATTGCACTCTGGAGGTCTTGTCGGCCTCGAGATGGCCAAAGCTGCCCCACGACAGCTCAAGAGGCTCCCACGACGGCGTAGAGAAAGCTCAAGAAGCTCCCAAGACGGCCCAAGAGGGTTTCAAGAGGTCCTCCAAACCCGAGTTTGAGACACGCATTGATTGTCATGTTTTGCCATATTTCGGGGTTCTTCCCCCTGTTTGGGCTTCCGACCGCCCAAGACGGCCAAGAGGCTTTCAATACAGTTTCAAGACAGCTCAAGAGAGCCCGAGATCGCCCGAGAGCCTCCCATGGGGCCCTAAGACGGGCCTGAAGTGCTCCAAGAGGGCACCAAGACAACCCAGGGAGACCCCAAGACGGCCTCCGAAAGCAACAGGCGGGCAAATGGCATCCCTAAGACAGCCCACGAGGCCCGAAGAGGCTCCAAAGAGGCCCCAGGAAGCCCCCAAGAGGCCTCCAAGAGCCCCCCCCCCGAGGCTCCCAGGAGGCCCCCTGTAGACCTCAAGATGGCAAGAGGGCCCCAAGAAGCGTTCTCCTCCTCCTCATTTGCTTCCTTTCCTCCTCCTCATCCTCTGTCTCCTCATCCTCCCCCTCATCCTCATCCTCCTCCTCCTCCTCCTCCTCCTCGTCCTCCTCCTCGTCCTCCTCCTCCTCCGCCTCCTCCTCCTCCTCCTCCTCCTCCTGCTCATCCTCCTCCTTGCCGCGCGGACGAAGACTATGTCGGGCTCACGACCCTGCCAATGTCAGACCACTCGCTAGACTGCCGCGGGGTGCGAACTCGACATCCTTCCAACCGCGCGGACGAAGTCCAAGACGAGGTCGAATTCACAACCCGTCCTTATCGCACCACTTGTCGGAATTGCGCCGTTCCCACACTCAACCTGCTCCCTGCAGCGCTGCTGCACAGGCGCGGTGGCGGGGTTTGCCGCATGCAGCCGGATAGTCTCAAGGTTCTCCCTTGTCCCCGGCTCCGCGTCTCCCAGCCATATGTCTACTGCCGGGCGGCATGACATGCAGGGCGGGTGCTCATCGCCACGGGTCAAGAGCAAATGCTCGTTGTGCGTCTTGCTGCGCCCGTTCTCCCAGCTCCCCTCCGAGCCAGTTCCCGAACTCTACTGGTCGCGGGTGCCCTCGCTCGTTCTGCGTCCTGCTGCGCCCCTGGTCCTCGCTCCCCTCCGAGCCAGTCCCCGAGCCCTTCTGATCGCGGGCGCCCTCTCATGCTGGAAGAAGAGACGGCAGTGCCCCGAGGAAGTCCAGGGCCCGGTCGAAGTGCACCCGGGTCAGCCCGCAGCCCAGCTGCACGAAGAGGCCGCCGTCCGTGGTCCACTCGTCGTACGTGTGGACGAGGCGCGCCTGGGGAGGGGCGACGGGAGGTGAGCCGAGGACGAGGAGGACGAGGACCAAAGCAGAGCCAGAACGCACTGACGATCACACGACGGCTCGCCGCTGGGGCCCCGCGGCCAGCCCAAGCGGCGAGCACAAGTCCGGCGTGGCCCCGCACGCAGCCCCAAGACCGGACAGTCAGGGCCACGTCGGCGTGATCGTGGTCGCCTCGGATGGTGGCGGTGCTGGTCGACGTCGTCGTCGCCGCCGTCGCCGTCGCCGTCGTCGTCTTCGTTGTTCGCCCATGCACCATGCAGCGCAGCTCCCCTCACAGGTCCACTGCTCGAGCGACCCCTGCAGACCACCCTGCGAGCAGGAGAAATGAAGAGACGGATCGCAGACCAGAGGGTTGCCACGTGAAGCTGTGCATTCGTATGTCTTCCTAAGGCCTATTAAGAGGTTCCTGCGCGAGACGGAGGTGTGAGCACGGCCAAATGCACCGTAGTGGAAGTATTACCGAAGATCGTGGCCGTGAAACAGAGGTGACAATCACGGCCATGTGAACCGCACTGTCCGTAACAAGGGACCGTGGCAGTGTGATGAGGAGGACGGCGCGACCATGTGCACAACATCGTATGCTGTACAAGGGGCGATGGTCGTGTGACAAAGGTGAGAAAACGACCATGTGTACCGTGGTGACTATCAGGGACCGTGGCCGAGTGGCAAAGGTGAGATGGCGGCCACGTGCACCATAGAGTATTTGCCGACAGCGATTCGTGGCCACGCGACAAGGGTGGCAGCACGGCCACGTGCACCGCAGTGATGTGTAAAAAGGGGCGCACCTGTGTACGCATGAAATGACAGGTCGTGGCCGCGTGGTAGGGGAGAGAGCATGGCCACGTGCACCGTGGTGCATCTTCTGCAGCACACTTGCTCCCTGCTTGCTGTCTCCCCTCTGCTCCTTCCCGCCTCCCCGCTCACCCGTTTTGCCCCCCAGGCTCGGGCCTCCCGCCTGCAGGTTCGCCGGCGGACGCCTGCCGCTCGCGCAGTGCAGGCCAGTCCACAAGAAGCCTCCCACAAGAAGCCCAACCCTGAGACCCCAGGACGTCCATTGACTTCTGGCGTGGGTAAGAGTAATGCCGGCGCGCTGGCGGGCTAGTTGGCTCCAAAAATCTCGAGGTAAGTTTTGCATCATTTCGGTCGGCTAAAGATCAGTTTCTCGAAATTCAAACATTCGTTAGAGTTCTGACATGTTTCCCCCCATCTTCGATCTTATTCCCGCTCGCCATCTTGAGCTCAGGTCACGCTTCCCATCGCAGACCCATCGACGCCCGAGGCACCAAGGGCACCCTGGAGGCGAGCCAGGTTCTTTTTCGGCACGGGCCCCCGCTGTACCTCTTCCCCCCCTCCCGTCGCCGCGCAGCACGGGCTGCCAGGGAGCAGGCGGCGCGTGTGGGAGCGCCGCCGGCCCGGGATGGGCCAGGGTGCACCAGCGCAGCGCCCCCCAGAGGTCTCCGCCGCCCGGGGCGGTTTCCCAGAGGTTCCCCCCTCCCCCAGAGCGCGGGGTTGCCGTCCAGCGCCCTTGCCAGAAGAGGCGAGCCTCGCCGCCTCGCCGCCGCCGCTGCTGCCGGCAGCGGCGCAAGCGACGTCGCGCCGCGCAGTGCCGCCGCAGCGTCGGGGACAATCGCGCACGTCCCGGAAGCGTCCCGCACTCGTGGGGGCGTTGCGCAAGGGCCGCGCCTGCGATGCGGGCAATATTTATATCCATATCCAGTGCGTCTTGGACTTTCTTGGACGGGGCGCCGCAAGGCCGAAGCGCACTGGATATGGATAAAAATTGAGCCTTTGGGAGGCAGATTCTAATCCATATCCGGTGCGCCTCATGTTTCTTGGGAAGAGAGTCCGAAACTCCAAGACGCACAGGATGTGGATAAAGGCATTGCCCGCCTGCGAGGCCGTGGAGATGGGCACTGCTGCCCCGCCCACGGGCCTCCCCGAAGTCTGAGGCCTCCCAGCAAGCTGCAGCGGCAGGAGGCCCCCCCAACCGTCCAGCGGGCCTTGGTCGTCGATCCTCGACCCTCGACCCTCGGAACCTCGACCCTCCGCCTCCTCGATCCTCCGCCCTCGATCCTCGATCCTCGACCCCAGGTCCTCCTCCTCGGTCCTCGATCCTCGACCTCGATCCCTCCTCCTCCCACCCCAGGCCTCTCCGGGAAACAAAAGACCTTGAGCGGGCGCGTGCTGGCAACGTGCCAGCCCGCCGCGCTCCCGCCCGGACAGCCGGCGAGGCAGCGAGGAGGCACAGCAGGCCACGAGTGCAATGCGATGTTTGACAGGTGCAGTCGGAACGCTTTCATGAGGAGCCCCAAGCAATAAATGAGACCCCTGTCTCCCATGCGTTGAGCTCCGATGTCCCATGGGGAACCTCATGAGCACCCAGGAGAGACTGTAAACCAATCGAGGAACACCGAGTCCCTCCCCAGCGAAAGGGGTTCCTTCTGCAGCGGCCGGGCCGACTGTCACTGATCGGCTGACCACGCGCCCGTCGTTTGGAGGGAGGGCTCGACATGCACACGATTGAGGCCGAGGTGGACTCCGACGTGGGCGACGCCTGCTGCACAGCTGCGCTCCTGTGCAGCAGGGGAATGTGGGCTCGAAAACTGGCGAGAGCCCGCCGCCCCCCCGCCCCCCCCCCTAAAGCGAAGGATGAGGACGAGGAAGAGGGCGGAAGAGGGCGGAAGAAGAGCGAGGAGGAGGGAGATGATGGGCCTGTTTTCCACCACCACCACCATATGTTGGAGGGGGAGGGGGTCCATCTCCTCCTCCTCCTCCACCTCCTCCTCCTCCACCTCCTCTTCGTCCTCCTCCTCGTCCTCCTCCATCCCCCCTCCAACTTATGGTGGTGGTGGAAAACAGGCCCATCAGGAGAGGCATGCGAGGATGGTGAGCGTTTTCTGAGTCGGCGTTTCGCCATTGGGCGGAAGGGGGGGGGGGGAAGCGGTGGGGGGGGTCTGGCTCCGGACCGCTGCTGGGTGTGACCGTCTGCAGCAGTGCGTGCTACGGGGGAGGCTCCACGTGCTCGACACAGGCGCCAAGGACAGCCAGGACCTGCTCAAGGGGGGAGGGAGGGCCGCGCCGATCGGCAACACAGTGCATAACGCAACGATCACATGTTCGACAATGAAATACGACGGGTCCGGAAAGAAGCGTGTCCTGCACCCCTGGGTTTTCCACCCAAGACCGACTTTTCATCCCGAGGTGCCTTCTTCGCGGCCCCGGGCACCGTGGAGGGCCCCAGGAACCCGAAGGCGGCGAGACGCACCAGAACGCGCGTCCCTCGTGGCGAGACGGGGAGGGCGAGGAGAAGGGCGACGACCCAGAGACATCCGACGATCCGATACTTTCAATCGGCGGCTCCGAGAAAGTCCCGACCCCTTCCCCAGGGCCAATGTTTCGCCCCAGATCGGTGCATCACCGTCCCCAGGCCCGAAAACGGGCCCCGTGCCGAAGTCTAGGATTCTACCAAGACCAAGGCTCGTGTTTTGTTTGTGTGTCTTGTGTGTTGTGTGTTGTGTGTTGTGTGAACTGTGTGAATTGTGTGAATTGTGTTGTGTGTGTGTGTCGTGTGTGTTGTGTGTTGTGTGTTGTTGTTGTTGTTGCTGTTGTTGTTATTGCCATATGTTGCTTCTCTTGAAACAAAACAATATGACAGCTGGGTAGACGAGAAGGAGGTCGAGCGTGCCCAAAGAGGCTTCGTCCAAGGTCGCCCCAGGAAGCCTCAGCGCTGAGCCCACAGGAACTCGTTTGGCCCTCCTTCTCCCCCTCCTCCTCCTCCTCCTCCTCCTCCTCCTCCTCCTCCTCCTCATCATTACCATTATCATCATCCTCCAGGGCGACTTCATAGCAATCTTCGCGCCATCCAGTCTCCGATGGGCGTCCTCCCATGGCTAGACATCTGTGGGCCCCCAGGCGGTGGCAGCTGAAGTACCGCGACGACAAGAGCACAACTCCGATGGGAGTCCACCGAGATGAGGTCAAGGCGGAGGAGCGCATCAGAGGGGACATCCCTACCCAAACCCTGTGCTAAGATGGGAGCCACATTTTGAAAGTCGACCCAGCCTCAATGCATGAAGCTCTTGCAGGTGTCTGCGAACGAATGTGCGCAGGTGCTGGAGTGACAGCCACATCTTGGAAACCACCCGCCATCCATCTGTGAAGCGGCTGTCATACTTGAAGCGTCAGGGTCATAAATGATGGGGCGTCTCAGGCGACACCTCCAGCCACCCTCTCGACTGGCCTCGGGGTGCGACAGACAGGGAGGAGCTATCTTTGAAAAAGGAGCGGAGGAGAAGAGAGGAGGAGGAGGAGGAAGAGGAGGAGGGAGGAGGAGGAGGAGGAGGAGGAGGAGGAGGAGTAGGAGGAAGGAAGACTAGGAGGATGAAGGAGGAGGAGACACGGAGGTTTGAGAGCGATAGGAGGAGGAGGAGGGAGGAGGAGGAGGAGAGGAGGAGGCGAGACGAGGAGGACGAGGAGGAGGGAACGGGGAAGGAGAGAGAAGGCGGAGGAGGAGGAGGAGGAGGAGGAGGAGAAGGAGGAGGAGGAGGAGAGGAGGAGAGGAGGAGAGGAAGAGGAGGAGGAGGAGGAGAAAGAAGGAGGAAAGGAGGAGACGAGGAGGAGGAGGAGGATGACGAAGGAGGGAGAGAGGAGGGCATCTACGAGGAAAGGAAGGAGGAGGAGAGGAGAGGGAGGGAGGGGAGGAGGAGGAGGAGGAGGAGGAGGAGGAGGATGCGCCCCCCGAGAGCTACGGCGCCCCCCCCCCCGACAGGCAGGCGGGGGCGCGCCGAGGCGTCGACGCAGGCCGGCACGCGGGAGCGCAGGTGCCGCCTCGGCTGCCGCGGTGGGCGCCGAGCGTTGGGCCGTGGACCGACGGCGAGCGAGCGAGGAGGAGGAGGAGGAGGAGGAGGAGGAGGAGGAGGGGGAACACGAGGATTTCGAGGTAGGGGAACAAACTCTATACGCGAGGACGGCGAGAATGTCTGGTTCAAGAACAATGATTTCGACGGATGCTGGGGCGCCTCAGGTCGTGCTGGAGCACCTAAGGTCGGGCTGGAGGGACCTCGAGTCGAGGAATTCTAGGTATGGAAACAAACTCTCTCTATACACCGACGCGGTGCGGCGAGATCTCTGAGGGTTAGTATCCGACTGTCGGCGCGCAGTAGACGGGCAGTGGCGAAAAACTGGCGGGGTGCGGCGCCGATCAGGACGTTTTTTTGGAGGTCCCTGAACGGAGCCGACGCTTCTTTCGGCCCTGCACAGACACTCGCGAAGGAGAGCGGATCCTGGTGTATACGGGATCCTGGTGTGCACATGTTTCGTGGTATCCTCGGGAGAACAAGGAAAAGTATGCACCGCACCACGGCGACGCCGTCCCCGACACTCGAAAATTGCTGGGGTTGAAGAGCAGCCCGCCACTGGTAATGTATATGCTCCAGTTTCTGACTAGGGGCATGCTTGTCACCGAGTTTGCATCTTCCCGAGTTGCCCTAATCAAGGTCTTGGTGGGTCCCAAGGGCCATCGGAGAAATGACACATTTCCGTGGGGTCCCTGCTGACGGGCCGCTCTCTAATTTCGGCGGCGAGCGAGGGGGAAAATGAGAAGGAGAAGGCCCTCTCAGAGGGCGGCGGGGCTTCGCAGAAGGCATCACGCCGTCTGAAAGGGTTGTCGTTTGTCTTCGGGGAAGGCTTATAGGAAACTTCTCAGAAGGCTGGGGGAATCCTGTGCCTTCGGAGAAGGCCCGCCCCTTCTCAATCCCCCCCAAGGCTCGCCGCCGAAATTTGCTCTAAACGTTCTTGGAGATCTTCGGGCTTCTAGGACGTGCCCGGATTGATTTGCATTGGCACTGACTGTTTGGCATCTATCATGCATTGCCCTGACTGGTCCTCAACCGACGACTGGCCATAAATCGTCAACCACCTTCTGGATCGAGGCCTCCTGCTCCTTCTGTGCCGACTGATCCTCCCGTTCCTGCTCAGACGCTGCTTGCGGACACGCGCAACACAGGGACATGCCCGACTTAAGACTAGGTGGTGCCGGTCAACCTGCCGGGCATCGCCCTCGCCGTGTCCGCGGTGGCCGTGCGGCCCAGGAAACAAAGGTCGAGGTCGGCGGCCGCACCGGTGGCCCGCGGCAAGAGCCGAACCGCTCAGCGATGCGCTGCCAACCAAACCTGTCTTGTGGGCCCCTTCCATTTCTCTGTGCACTTCAACTTCGGCTTCGGCTTCAGCTGCCGATGCACCGTGAAGCACCCTCGGGTCAGCTCACCCGAGTCGGATTTTCCGCTTGCACGGGCGCTCCCCCCACCCCCCCGAGGCTGCAGCCAGCGCGCACGAAGAGAGTGTTGAGGAAGAGGGAGGTCGCTGACCGGCTGCGGCCGTCGGCCGCGATCGGGAACACACGGCGTTGCCTGCTTCTTCTCCTGCTCCTCCACACGTCCAGCTCCTCCTGCCCGCCCCTGTCGTCGACACGGCCTGCCCCCTCCGGCCCGCATGCACCATCCGTGTGGCCCTCCTTGCCTCCGTTCTGCCATGCCGCTTCGACCGCCCCGCCCCCCGTGGACATCGTCCTGCCATCCAGCGCTCCCGGGGCGGAATCCCAGACCGAGGCCCAAGCCGAAGACGACGACGTCGCCGAAGCCGCTGCCGCTGCCGACGACGACCACGACGGACCACCACGGACCACGAAATGGGCGACGACAACGAAGTCGACGACGTCGGCGACGACGCCGACGGCGGCGACGTCATCGAGTGGCCCCCCGCGCAGCTCTCTGGGGGCGCGGCTCGACGGCGCCCGCGGAGCCCATCTGTTGCCCGCCGCAGCGCCAGGCTCCGAAGGGGGTGGTGTGGAAGTCCTGCCCAGGGAGGCCAAGGTTCGGTGGCAACGCATGGGAGCCTCCCACACCATCGTGTCGCCTCCTGCGAGTCGACGCTCGTCGATGCTATATCGACGATGGTCGACGCTAAAACGACGCTAATCAGCGCGAGCCGACACTACATCGGCGCTGTCTCATCGACTCCAGACGCTAATCGACGCTAGTCGACGCTATCAGGCTCGCTGGATTTGCCGCCGAAGCCAAGGGTGGAGGGACCAGGCCGAGGTAGAGCGGCGAGCGAGACAAACCATACGAGCGACGACAAGAAGCGGGTCTCATAGTCGACTCGTATTATAAGGATGCGCGGAGAGGATGCGCAAGGACCTTGGAGGGCCCAGCTGACGTTTTCTGAGCGGGGCGCGGCGAGCGAAAGTGTCCAAGGATGGGCCGACGGGGCAAGGATGGTTCCCTTGGGAAGGTTGCCCATGCTTACTATGCGGGTCGACTGTACGATTACGTTGTTCCCATCCTACTTAAGGACCGCATCCCAGAAACAATGTCGAACACCCAGAAAAGTGTCAAAAGCGTGTCGAAACAGTGTCGGAACAGTGTCGGGCGAGTGTCTCCCAGGGCCCGACACGTGAGCACCCTTGAGTTCCGGTACTTGTCTGGGCCACTCGAAATCCTTCCTGGTGATGAAGGCTAAAAGTAGGCTGGAGCATCCTAACTGCACGAGCGACAAAAAGAGAAACCGGTCTTACGCGCCTCTTCGGGGACGGCCAAGAGGGGGGCGTCCACGAGGGGGGGGTGCAAATCATGACCGGCTGCATGTGCGCGGCCCAGCGGGGGGGCCAGGGACGTAATGAAATAAGAAGAGGCGCCATCAGATCTGGGGAAATATCATGGCCCCCGCCATGATATCCACCCCCCCCCTAGTCATCACCCCCCTCTTTTCCGCCCCCGACCTCTGCGCCGATGGCTCACGCGGGCCGCCCGCCGGGCACCCCACACACGGGCAGCGGGGGCGCTCCCGCGCGACCTATCTGCGCGCGGACGGCCGGCGCGCCGAGGTCGGCGCGCGGACGGCCTCGCTGCTCTGCGGCGCCGCACACGCGCGCGCATGCGCGTGCCCCGCGCCGGCGCGGGCACGGCAGAGCGCGTTCAGAGGTGCAGGAGCAGCAGGAGGAGGAGAAGGAGGAGGAGGAGGAGGAGGAGGACGACGAACAGGAGGGGAGGAGGATAATGATAATGAGGAAGAGGAGGAGGAGGAGGAGGAGGAGGAGGAGGAGGAGGAGGAGGAGGAGGAGCCACAAGAAACAACCTTCCACAAGAGAAACCCAAACCCGAGGCCCCGGGGCGCCCATTGCTTCTTCCGGGGATGGGCAGGCCCTCCTTTAGCAAAACGTGGTTTCGTGGAAACGACCTCGGGCCCAAACCTGGCGGGCGCAAGCCTGGAATATGACGGCCGCGGCGCCCTCTGGAGAGCCGAAAACAGACAATTCACTAATAGACGTGTCAGGGTAGGAGGTCTGTCCACCCCCGAGTTTGGGTGTGGGAACGTCGCGCTTTCCATCGCAAGACCATCGAAACCCAGGGCACCCTGGAGGCAAGCAGGGTGCTTCTTGGCATGGGCCCCCCCTGTAGGCCGGCGAAGGCTGCACGCCGCGCGTGCACGTGCTCGCCCAAGAGGCTGTGGTCCAAATGAGGCTGACGCCGGCCACAGCGGAAACCGGTGCTGCGGGCCTCTCTGCACTGACGGGCGGGGGCAGGAGGCTACTCCGGGGCGGTCCTCGTCGGCACGCTTCTATACGTAGGGGCTGCGGAGCCCGATCGAGGGGCCACCGAGGAGGAGGAGGAGGAGAGGGGGAGGGGAGGAGGAGGAGGAGGAGAGGAGGAGGGAGATAGGAGGGAGGAAGGGAGGAGAGGAGGAGGGGGAGGAGGCGGAGGCGGAGGAGGAGGAGAAGGAGGGAGGAGGAGGAGGAGGAGGAGGAGGAGGAGGAAGGAGAAGGAGGAGGAGGAGGAGGGCCTGCCTGCTTGAGTCTGGGCTCCCAGCGCCCACCAGCCGAAGGCCGCGCACCCTCAGGCGCTCCTTCTCGCCAGCGCGCAGGGGCCGCTCCTGCGCGCAGCCCAAGATCCATCCATGGCCCAGGCACGCCTGGCGACCCAAGCGGACGACCTACCAGACCATCCCAACCCAACCCGAAGACCCGTACTTCGGGTGGGGGGGGTCGGGCTCCACATCCGTTTTTTCAATGTTCCCCGACCCTCCCCCCCCCTGGAGATGGAGGGCAAACCGGGGCCTTCGGGTTGGGTTGGGGTGGTTTGGTGGGCGGTGGCGAGCTGGAGGCGGCGGCACGGGCATCGACGAAGCGTCGATCGCCGATAGGAGGCCCAAGGGAGGAATCGAGAGGGAACGTCAGGGGGGACCAGCTCAGGGGGGGACGATCGACTTGGACTCGGCGATGCACCGCCGCGGCATTGCCGCGATGGCGAACCGTCACCCTCCTGGTCGGGGTGGGCCATCGGGTCCCGATCGACGATGACTGGGCATTCGGAGTCGACGCTCCCCCCACCCCCCCAACCTGTCCCACCCTAACGTTGCCCCGTGGTGTCCAATCATAGCTTTGGAGTCCAGAAACGGTGCGGTGGCAGAACGTGCGGTGACCTCGAAATCCCCCAAGACCTCACCGCACGGTCCGTCAACGCACGGTTTTGGGACCTCAGATGCCCCAGTCGCCCGAAACGTCCTCGGAGAACGACCCGAGTCCCACAACCGTGCGGTGACCCCGAATCCCAACCGACTCACCACACGGTGCGCTCACCACCCCGTTTGGGGGCCCCCGGATAGCCGGATAGCTCCCCTCTCCAGCGGCCGTCAGGAACGATCCGGGCACCCCTGCAATGCTCTCGGTGCTGGCGCAGGGTCGCTTGGAGAGCATGCCGAAAAGACAAAGCCGCCGCCGAGCACCGACAAGCACGCCCGACGAGAACCTTCAGCCTCGAAGCCCTGCAGGCCTGCGATCGGGAACTTGGGGAAGGCCCGCGGCAGGCGAGGCCTGTCGCGCCGAGGCGCGGTTGGCCAGAAGGGCGGCACGCGAGCCAAAAGTTCCCGGCCCTTTCCTCCGTTCGCGTCGCCCCTGCTTCTGCTCGCGAGCGACGCAGGCAGCTGGGCGCCGCCAACACAAGTCGAAAAGGGAGGGTCAGGCACAGCGCAACGCGTCGCCCCTGCGTCGAGGAGGCAGAAAAAAGGGGGCGGCAGCCCAGCACGACGGCCAGGCCGCGCCCGAGCGTCACGACGCCGGCGCCCGCCGTCTGTGGGCAGCCCCGCGGAAGCCCTGATGCACACCCGCCTTCTGCGGCAACTCATGGGACCCTTCCATACCAGCTTGTCCGCTCGCGCGATCCTACGCAAGCCGACACCAATCGACGACAGAGGTACTCTGCGCAGGCCCGAGATACTCTGCGCAGTAAAATCTAGAAGCAGGAGACACGCGACGCCCTGATTATTTCAATGCCCCGTCCCCAGATGCCCCCACCCTTTACCCAGGTCTGGTGTTGCATCCTCGAGCAGCTGGGTGTCCGCAGCCAGATAGGGAAGGGTGCAGCGCCCGAGGGCTCGCTGGACCAGGTCTCGGGCGAGCTGGCGTTCTGGGAGGCGGGGCCCTCGGCTAAGACCATCTCGATCGCCAAGGTCGGCGCTCGGTCTGCGGCACCGCTGCGAAACCGCTGGTCTGTACCCAGGTCTTTGCCCACCACTTGCCACCGCTCGGACGTCCCCTCCCCGTGCATATATTTCGGTTTCGCGCGAGCTTCTTCTGCCGGCCGGCCCAGGATGCTTCTCAAGGGCCCTCGCCAAGAAACAGTGCACACGTCCGAGCCGAGCGATGCCGAACTCCAAGGCGTGCGCAACCCTTGCCGCCCGACCCCGACCCCCGACGCCGTGACTTGTTCGCAACGCCGACCCCCAGAGGTCTGGACCCCCTCCCCCGGACCGGTCCTTCCTCTTACCCGAGGCCTGGCGAGGCACGGGTAAGAGGACCTGCGGGCAGCTCATGCTCTGCCCCAGGAGGTCGCGGGCAACCAGAGGGCCGGCGGGCGCTCACCACGGGAGCACCGCGCGGCCGGGAGCACCCCCCCTTAGGCGCAGCCTGGGGCGCGGGGGAGATCCTCGAGCACGAGCAGGCGCAGCTTCTTGAGCCACGGGGCCTTCTTGCAATGCTCCTGGGCCGGCTCGGGGGGGGGTCCTCCTCCTCCTCCTCCTCCGACTCCCCCTCTTCCTGCTATCCTCTTCCTCCCTCCTTCCTCCTCCTCCTCCCTCCTCCTCCCTCCTCCTCCTCCTCCTCCTCCTCCTCCTCCCCTCCTCCTCCTCCTCCTCCTCCTCCTCCTCCTCCTCCTCCTCCCCTCCCCCTCCTCTTCCTCCTCCACCTCCTCCCCCTCCTCTTCCTCCTCATCCTCTTCTTCCTCCTCCTCCTTTTTCTCCTCGTCTCCCGTCTCCTCCTCTATGTCCTCATTTTCCTACCATTCCTCCTCCTCCTCCTCCTCCTCCTCCTCCTCCTCGTGGGGCGGCGGACCCAGACGTCGTGGCGCCTTGAAAAAATCGAGGCGGACTTGTTTGTTCTCGTTTTCGGTTCCCCGGGGGGCCCTTGCAAAGGTCTCGGGGCCGGGGGCCGTGAAGACACGACTCGCGAGGAGAACTTTTGGTGCCGGGGCAGCGTGATCGCAAGATCGAGGGGATGTCTGACGAGCGGGGGTGGGCAGGAGAGCCCCGCGTGGAAGCGACGAGTCGGCTCTGCGATCGAGAACAATCGGATCGGCGCCGATCGGCAACCATGTCGGGAGAAGTCGAGTCGCCGGAAAGCGGCAGGGTAGTAAGGCCTCCGTTGGGAAACCAACGTTCAAGAATCTTCTGTTCCTCGAAACTGGGACGTGTCTTCGATCTGGTAGCCATGTGGCCGCCGTCGCCGCCGCGTCGTCGTTGCCGCCTGTCGTCTGGGCCGTGTGTTCGGTCTGGCGGCTTTGTGAACGCCGTCGCCGCGTCGTCGCCGCCTCGTCGCCGCCCGTCGCCGCTGTTGGATTGAACCAAGTAGATTGCACAAACAATATGTCGCGCCTGCAGCGCGAAGTTTGATCGCTCATTTCATTCACTGCACCGCATGTGCTCACGAGATATACGGCACCACGTAGATTGCACAACGCGTGTTTCACACAAACATATTTGGCATAACACCGATTCCGCAACATCTCTTGCACGCCATGCGGTCCGCAGCATAGATGGCAGAAACTATGCTACAAACAACTCTCCCACTGCGATGGATGTAGAACATAGTTTGTCCTGCGTTGCACACGTCCGGTTGCACCACATCTATTGCATCACCAATGAGTATATCGCAATCAGTGCGCCGCACGTATTGCTTAACATATGTTGCCCCTATATTTGAAAATATAGACTCGTATTGCAATACATGGGCTGTCGCATGTGTTTCCGACCTTGCGGCGCGCTTTGTGGTCGTGCACAGCTTGGGTTGCACCACATCTATTGCACACCATCGAGTCCACCGGATAGATTGCATAAGTATATATGGCACAGCAGAAATGGTGCCACCTAGGTCGCACAATGTATAGTGCACCACACATTCTGCACAACAAACATTGAACAACACGTAGATGGCATCACATAGGTTGCACCAATTACACTGCACAACATACGTGGCACACAGCATCATCCGCAGCATAGATTGCACACCATCGATTGAACAACCTATGTTGCACCACATCGGTTGTTAGATACACACTGCTTGGGGTCCACGCTGGCTAACACAAGCTATATGCATACTCTCACATCAATGCATCGTCGGCGCTCCCTGGAAGGAGGGGGGGCGAGACTGGGGGGCAGGTTGGTTGGGCTTGCCTGGGGAACGCCACGTATTGAGCCCCCAGGTAGGGGCTCCGTGAGAAGCCGAACCGAGCTGGGCTTCCCCGGGCGAAGGTTGCAGCCAGCAGCCAATACGCCTCCCAGCCTTGCCCTTGATTGAGGAAGGGAGATGTCCAGAAGGTACGAAGGGGAACCAGAGAGGACAAGTAGAGGTGGCGACCGCAGGAGGAGGAGGAGGAGGAGAAGGAGGAGGAGAGGGAGTTGGGAAACACGAGGGAGGGGAGGAGGGAGGGAGGAGGAGGATAGGAGGAGGAGGACGAGTAGGAGGAGGAGGAGTGGAGGAGAGAGGGAGAAGGAGAAGAGAGGACAAGGAGAGCAAGGAGAACGGAGAACGAAAGGCGAGGGAAGAGAGGGAGAGAGGGGAGGAGGGAGGGAGATGGGGAGGGGGAGAGTAGAGGAGGAGGAGGAGGAGGAGGAGAGGAGGAGGAGGAGGAGGGAGGAGGAGGAGGAGGAGGAGGAGGAGGAGGAGGAGGAGAGGAGGGGGATAGGGAGGAGGAGGAGGAGAGGAGGAGGAGGAGGAGGAGGCGGAGGAGGAGGAGGAGGATGAGGAGGAGAGGAGAGGAGGAAGAGAGGAGGGGAAGAGAAGAAGAGGGAGAGGAGGAGTAGGAGGAGGAAGAGCGAGCAGGAGGAGGGAGGAGGAGGAGGAGGAGGAGGAGGAGGAGGAGGTGGAGAGCGAGAATGGAAGGTGTGCTGAGGCTGAGGGTGGGGCCTTGCGGCTCGCGCAAGCACCCACGAATCGCGCTCCACCGGCCGCGACAATCTTGGGGCCCAACGGGCACGAGGACCGCCACTCCCCACGCCGGGGCTTCACCAGGCACTTCAAGTCGCATCACACGCGGGTGAGGACTAGGGAGGGAGGGCAACGAAACCTCCCCAAGAGGAACGAAGAAGGCGGAGGAGGAGGAGGAGGAGGAGGAGGAGGAGGAGAAGGAGGAGGAGGAGGCGAAGGAGGGAAGATGGAGGAGGGTGGACACAAGGGCCTGGTGAGGGTGGGAGAGGGGGTGCGGTTGCATTCGCCCGGGCTCGACCGCCTGCAGCCGATGGAGCAGGGAATGGTTTTTAGTCGCCCCCCAGAAGGCAACTTGCACGAGCCAATCGCCAGTGCCAGCAGGGCAGCTTATGCCTACCCCGCGTGCTCACGGGTGCGCCCCAGGATGGCCCGCGCAGCCGCCTCCAAGGAGCCCTGCGCCAGCTCGCGCGTGGACAACCAAGCTGTGCGATGCGCCCCCGCATGACACACTGCTTGGGCCCAGCCCAGGTTTTTCGCGCCGCAGACAGAGAGGGCGTGGAACGCCAGGCTGTGCGAAGCGACCCCACATGACACACTGCTTGGGCCCGAGGCCGACGACCTCTGTGCCCCCGTGCTGCGCTGCTCCCGCCGCGTTGCCACGTGACCCTGGTCTCAAAATCCAGTCCGCAGGGGTCGCGAACGGAAAGTTGCGCGTTTCCCGCGGGACCGCGGGGCCCCCATCGAATAGGCAGTGCAGCAGTCTCCCCTGTCCTCCTGAGAGAGATGCCCGGACAGGCACAGCAACGGGAGGCCCGACCCCCGGGTGCCTGTGGAACCGACAGGACCAAGCGGGTGCATGAGCGTATGTTCAAATGGGCAGGTCGCCCCCTCTTGCGCACAGCAGCGCCAGCCTAACCTCGTCCGGCTCGTCGGTTAGAAACGCCTCACCCTCAGAAACCTGCAGGGACTGACCAAACGCTGTAGCCTCACCTGGGTCGGGCGGGTGGCCATGGGGGGTGAACTAAATGGGGGTGAAGAAAAGGGCCCGTGGGGCTCCTTCAGGGCCCCTGCTGGGCCCTAAACAGCCCCTTCAGGGTCCTTTTCTTCACCACCCGTGTAAGTCCCCCCCCAGTACTAGGTCGGGCATGTCCTCCTACGGGTAGGTTTTGAAAGACATATTAAAAAAAAAGACTCGAAGTACATAATATATATATATATATATACAACACTAATAGAAACACATCAACCAGCGTTGACTCCAACTAGATAGGAGGACGGGAGGAGGACGAGAGGAGGCTGGGAGGAGGACAAAAGGAGGACGGGAGCAGAACGGGAGGAGAACGGGAGGAGCAACATCAAGCAAGCGCAAGCGAGCAAGCGGAAGCACGCAAGCGCAAGCGAGCGGCAACGATCCCGTGGCCACCCTTCAGACTCCTCCTGCAAAGGGGGCAGGCCCGACGTCGAGGTCAGGCCACCCCCCGGCACCACCCGCTCGACTGGGGGCGAGCCGCCGCGGAGCCTCTGACCCACGGCCTGGGCGAGGCTGGGGGGCCTACCGACCGCCAGCCCGCCCACTGCGCTGCCGCCCGCGGGGCAGCCGCGCCGCACGCCCGAGGCCCGCCGCCTCTGCGGCCGCTGCGGGGCGCGCGCCCTTCCCGACGCCGGCCCCGCAGCCGGCCCCCCCCCCGCTGCCCGCGGGGCAGGCGAGAGGGGGGGCGGGAGGAGGGCGCGGAGGCAGGCAGAAAGAAGAGGGAGGGAGGGAGCTGAGGAAGGGCCGGGGCGCGGGGTGGGAGAGGGGGGGGAGGGGAGGACCAAGGGGAGAAGAGAGGACACCGAGGGAGGGATGGGGGTGGAGAGCGGGGGGGAGGAAGAGGGGCAGGGATGGGAGGAAGGGCATGCAAGGAGAGTGAAGGGAATGGAGGGGGGGGCATGCTCATCTCTTCCCCTTCTCCTCCTCCTCCTCCTCCTCCTCCTCCTCCTCCTCCTCCTCCCCCTCCTCCTTCTCCTCCTGGAAGGGAGGATGCAGAGACGGATTGGACTGTAAGGAAGGAGGGTTTCCCAGACTTCTGGGACTTTGCTACAGGTGGCCCCGTAGTGTCGGCGGGGTCGCCACTCACGATGCGTCGGCGATGCTGTGCGATCCTCCGACATCTACTCCTGCGCCACAGAGGGAGACCTGGAATTTCGTCACCCCGGGTGTGCATTTTCGTTTGCCGCCAGGCTTCCGCGGCGAAGTCGCCGATGCACTGCAGGCGGAGCTCGGGCGTGCTGTCGTCCCGGATCGCCGTGCGCGCGTCGAAGGTGAAATACCTCGCGCCCCCGGGGCCGCCGTTGGCCTCTCTCTGCCGGGCCACCCCCTCCCCGGGACGAGGCTGCAATCTGCTCAGCGCACACCGCCTGCCTTGCACAAGGGGACAATCGGGGACGGACAGACCCCCTTTAGCAAAACGTGGTTTAGTGAAAACGGTCTGAGGCCCAAACCTGGCGGGCGCAAGCCTGGAAAATAACGGCCACGGCGCCTTCTCGAGAACCGAAAACGGACAATTCACTAATCGACGTGTCACTGTTGGGGTATCTGTCCACCCCCGAGACAAAGGCTGAAGGAGGCTTAGCTCCTGGCTTGGCCTGCACCTGCCTGCCCAAGTAGTGCAAGGCAGACGCAGAGGGTATAGAGCTCTGCACGAGAGCGCCACGAATGCTAGCCAAGACCGCGGGGGTAATGCGGGATGACGATGTATTAAAAAAAAGTGGGAGAGAACGATTAAAAACATAGTTTCCTGCTATGTCTGCAAATGTTTCTGACTGGAGGAGAACGATTAAAGAAATAGTTTTCCAGCCCGCGGCCGGTTTTTCCTAATCGTCATCCCGGGCGCCGCCGCGTGAACACGACCCCCGGTCATTTATTACTCGTCATCCTCCATTACACGCGACCCGGCTTCCCCTTCCGATCGCTGTCCTGCAGAAGGAATACCCTTCAATGCAGAATTGTGTCGCCTCGCTAGCCTGAAGCAGCATCCGATGGCATTGTACTCTGCGCTGGTCAGCCGCTGGTCAAAGAGAGGGGGCATCTTGCTAGCCAGGGCGTTGGAAACTGACCGAGGGTCCTTGGAACTGTTGATGGAATTCAAGACCCAAGCTCAGGCGGACCGTGCCCATCACCCTACTTCTCCCTCTTTGACCTTTTCCCTCCCCATCCCCATTCGCAGCGGCTCCAGAAGCGCTGCCAAACCTGCGATCTCTCGCCGAGCGATCGCAAGCTGGGTGCATTTCGCCGACAGTCACGCGCAGCTTTCGTGTGGGCAGGCCCCAGGAGGCAGGAGAGCCCAGAATCGAATCGATAAATCGGATCGGCAATCGACATGAATCGGATCGGCAGAAATCGGCAGCCGAATCGGGGAAAGTCGAATCGGCGGAAATCGGCAGGCTAGTATGCCTCCAATAAGAAATCGGAATCCAAATCGGAAGCCCAAGTCGAATCGAATCGGAGTCGGAATCCATCGAAGTCGAATCGAATCGAATCGGAGGAATCGAAACGAGCCCTGTGGAGGGGGTCACAAGCGACGAACCTTCCCGTATCCGGGCGCTCGCGGTCGGGCCTCCAGAGGCGCGATCCAACCGGACACGCGCTCCCACGGACATGCTCCGCGCGGAGCACCCGCGCGCAAAGCAGCCCCGGTGGCCCGCGGGGCCGCGCCCGAGGAGTCGGAGCCGCCAGCCCGCGGAGGGCGGACCTGCATCCCGCTCCCGCGGGCGGGGGGGGGTAGGGGAGCAGAACCAGATCGCGGGACTGTTGGGGGGGAGGGGGCTTGAGGTCCTCCCCCCCTCCGGGACAGGGAGGCGGGTTGAGAGCCCACAGGGGGCAGCCAGGGGAGTATTCAGCCTGAGGACGACCCTGCCTGCCCGCCATCGGCTCTCTCCGAGTGCCACCCTCCATGGGGGTCAGACGAAGCCAGGACGAGGATAAAATCGGGGGAGGATAAATCGGGAATCTCTGAGATCCGGCGGCTCTCGAGGATGTCTCTTTCGCCGCGGCTTTCTCAGGGCGTTCCGGAACGCTCTGGAACAGATCTACCCTCGTCCCAGCCCCGCGCGAGGGGGTATGCCATGGAGCCCGTGCCCGAGAATCCCAAGCAACTCCAACCGCCGAAGAAACGCCTCGGAGCTCCAGGCCGAAGGGCACCTGCCCGGGTGCCCCGAAACACGCCCTCGAGCCTGGAAACAAAACCCGAAACAAGGCAGACACCCCCCCTCGAGCCTCCAAGTCCAGTCCGCAGACGCGCAGTCGGCGTGCTCGCCTGGCGCGCTGCTGGCAGACGGGTCGAGCGCAGCGCGCAGTCGGTCCGCTCGACGCGTCCACAGCCAGCAGTGCCCCACTCGTCACCCACCCCCGGCGGGGCCTTCTAACTACACGGCCACATCGACGTGCTCATCTGCCTGCCCCACCCCCCCGAAGCAGCACGTTCTGCTACACCCCTGGAGCTTCGATCGGCTCCAAGTGGCCCCGAAACCACGACGGAGCCGAAACTGTCCACGAGGCCGCCTTGAATCCTGACCCAGACATCTGGCTCCTCGATGTTTTAGACAAGCGGCCCCCGCGACCGGCTTTTCATCCCGAGCCGTCGTTTGAGGGTCCTGGGGCCCAGAAGAGGCCGAAAACTATGAGAAACCTCCGTCTCGACTTTTCGGAGACGCCAGGTGCCTGGGAACAGCATGATGATGCCTTGGAGTCTGGCTGTCGTCTGCCCGGGGGCGTCCCGCGGCTGTCGGGCAGAAGGCAGCCTCGCCGTCCTCGTCGTCGTCGTCGTCGTCGTCGTCGTCGTCGTCGTCGTCGTCGTCGTCGTCATGTCGTCGTCGTCCTCGTCGTCCTCGTCCTCGTTGACCTACCTCGTCGCCGTCGTCGTCGTCGAGGTCGCCGCGGCCGAGCAGACGAGGACGCCGCCGCGGCCGCCGGGCGGCCCCCCCCCCCGAGCGCCGAGGGGCCCCCCCCCTCCCCGGGGGGCGCCTGCCCAGGTGCCGCGAGAGGGCGGCCTCCACCTGCCGCGCGCGGCGCGTGTGCCTCGCGGCCGCGCGGCGCTGCGCCCCCCCCCCCCCAGGCTCTCCACCTCCTCCACATCCTCCTCCTCCTCCTCCTCCTCCTCCTCCTCCTCCTCCTCCTCCTCCTCCTCCCGCTACAGCTCTCCGTCTCGGGCTCTCTACGTCCCGCTCCCACTCTCTCTCTCTCTCTCTCTCGCTCCGTCCCTCTCTCTCTCTCTCTGTCTTGTTGTATCATTTCTGGTCGGCGTCCTTTTGACTCACCCGGACGCATGCTGGCTCGCACTCTCTCTCTCTCTCTCTCCCTCCCTCGCCCTGCCTCTCTCTCTCTCGCTTTCTCCATCTCTCTCTCTCTCACTCTCTCTCTGTCTGTCTCACTCTCTCTCCCTCTCTCTTTCTCTCCATCTCTCTCTCTCCTCCTCTTTATCTCTCTCTCTCTCTCGTTATCCGTTTGTCCTGTGTTTTGTTGGTTGTTTTGTTTGTGTGTTTCTCTCTCTCTCTCTCTTTCTCTCTGTCTCACTTGTTGTTGTTGCTGCTGTTGTTGTGTTTTTGGTAATATATATATATATATATATATATATATACATGCGCGTATGCATATGTATATATATATATATATAGATCTGTGTATCCCTCTCTCTTTCTCTCTCCAGACCCCAGACGGCCTCGCGGCCCAAACATCCCCAGGCCTTGGGGGAACCAGAAGGTACCGATACCGCTCCTCCCCGGACCGGAGCCAAGGGGGTGCGCTCTGACCAGGATTCCGAGGCGAATCCAGCGGTGGCGACGAGGCCCAAACAGGGGGGACGACGATGGAACGGTAGCGGCATGGGTACCCTTTTCTCGGCGGTGGACAAACCTCCCTTTAGCAAACCACCATTTAGCGAAAACGGCCTACGACCGAAACCGACCGACCTGGACCCGCAAAAATGACGGCCGCGACGCCCTCTCGGCCGCGGCCGTCAACGGCCGCGGCCGCCGACGGCCGCGACGGCCGCGAAAACGGCTAATTCGCTAACCGACGTGTCAGGGTAGGAGGTCTGCCGACCTCCGATCTTCCCCCTCTGAGGCAACCTCGCCCGCAACCGCGCCACGAACGGCGCGGCACCTCCGCGCCCTCGGCGCCCTGGAGGCGGACAGGCACCGGCAGCCTGCGCTGGTCGATGCTGCACCAGCGGGTCGCGGAGTGCTGCCTGCGACGGGATCGTTGCCTGGAGCAGCCGGCTCAACCGCTCAACGCCTGGGCGGCTTCGGAGACCCTGGACCCAAAAACGTCTCCATCTCTTGGGAGCGCGCTCTTCACTTCCGCCGCCCTCCGCCGAGTCTCCGCCCGCTTCCGCCAGCGGAGGGGGGCTCGTTTTACTTCCACCGACCTTCCGCCGACCTTCCGCCGCCTCCCGCCGTGGAAGGGATGGCAATTCCTTCGATCCTCGAAGGTAAGGCCCTGTTTCATTGCACCGACCTTGCAGACGTGCTGCAGCGGATTTTCGCGTGGATTTCTGTCAATGCGGAACCCCGAAACGGCGAGTGAGAAACGTAGTGAATTTCGCGTGGATTCTTGTGTTACGTAGTCTTCATTCCTGGCCAACACAAATCCGCACGAAAATTCACCTCGACATCAGGAACGACTTTCTCCAGGACGCTCTGGGCCCATCCTGTCGTTGTCCGCACAAGATCCGCTCTGCGATGCTGGCGCCAGGACCTCTTTGGAACGCCTCATTTCAGGCTACGCCTCTCGACCATGAGGGGCAACGATACGGGGGGGGCTGGCAGAGGGGGGGATGCATCGACCTGAAATCGGTGATACATCGCCGATAGATCGGTGATAGGCCCCAGATCGTGAGAATTCGCACCTCCCCGGGCAGGTTGGGGCCATCGGACCCCTCTCGGCGATCAATGGGCGATTGGGGGTCGATGCACCCCCCCTACGGCAGGTCCGTGTTGTGCCGACTTCGGCGTTGGTTTCTGACACCGCGGGGATCGTTCAAACTTGAACGATCGGCCGTCTCCGCAACGTCCAAATGTTCAACATCGAACGATTCTGGGTCGCCCGCGGCGTTCAAAGTTGAACGGCGCTGGCGGGGTCGCCGCCAGTCGACACGACGCGAGCCTACCGTATGCCTACTCCCCCCCCCCTATCGTTGCCCCTGAGACCACCACCTGCCGCGCCCTCCGCGCGGATCCCGGCGCCGCCGCGAGGTGCGGGCCGCGGAGGCGGCGGCGGCCCGCGGCGGCGCCGCGCTCCTGCCGCGCGGAGGGCGTGACAGGTGCAGGGCGAGGGTCCCCTGCTCTCCGTGTCTCTCTTCTTCTTCTTTTTTTGTTCTCTCTCTCTCTCTCTCTCGTCGAGTAGGGGATCGACTACAGGATTGGTGTACCCCAGAAGTAACTTTCTCGCCGCGTCTGCGGGCAAAGGACTCAGCATCCTCGGTAGGGTTGCGCATTCCCACGCGTCGTCGTGTCTTTCGACGAGGAAGACAATGCTGGGGCAAATCAATTCTGTAGTCGATCCCCTACTCGGTCACCTTCCTCGGGGGCGCACAAACATGGAATAGCGATCCATGGACTTGGGGCGCGGTCGCCAAATCCTTGGATCGGGAGAGGTGCCCTCCCCAAAGGTGCCCTCCTCGCCTGACCTCCAGCCCATCGCTCGGACGCCTCTTCTCCCTGCGTTGCTCGATTCCGTGCGTGCGCGCATGTGCTTCGCGAGATGGTGATTGCCAGACGATTACCATCCCGACGGCTCTTGCGGATCAGCGCTCATCGACGCTGGCCGAGGCCAATCGACGCAACATCGACGCGAATCGACGCCAGAAGACGCTACATCGGCGCTACCTCATCGACTCCCAGACGCTAATGGACGCTGACCGACGCGAAAGACGGAATTCGGTTGGTGTGCCACAGCGGGCGGCCGCTCGAGCCCGCCGTGCGGGATCCGCGCTCCTGCGGAGGATGAGGGCGGGGGAGGCGAGTAGGAAAGGGCGAGCAGGAGGAGGGAGGGAGGGGGAGGAGGAGGGGGGGGAGGGAGGAGGGCGAGAAGGAGGAGGCGGGGCGAGGAGGAGGAGGATGAGGGGCGATAAGGAGGAGGAGGGGGAGGCGAGAAGGAGGAGGCGGAGGGGATCATGCCCACCTCCTGGCCCATCCTCTCCTCCCGCCTCCTCCTCGCCCCATCCTGGGTGGGGCGAGGAGGAGGAGGGAGGAGGGGGAGGCGAGGAAGAGGAGGGGGAGGGAAAGAAGGGGCGAGGAGGAGGAGGAGGAGGAGGAGGGGGGCTAGTAGGAAGGAGGAGGAAGGGGGGAGGAGGAGGAGGGGGCTTGGAGGAGGAGGAGGGGGCGAGGAGGAGGAGGAGGATGGGGGAGGAGGAGGAGGAGGAGGAGGGGGCAGGAGGAGGGGGGAGGAGGGAGGCGGAGGGGGGGAGGCGAGGAGGAGAGGGCGCACGCACCCCGCCCCAAGCGGCCGTCCCCCCTCGCGCGGGCTTCTCCCGCCGAGGGAGGACTGGGGGGAGAGCGTCGCGCGAGCCACGGAGCGCGGGCCAGCAGGGACGGGCAGAGGCACGATCCGGGACGCACCGAGGCGGGTCATGGTGATGATGGTCATGATGATGGTGATGGTGATGGTGATGATGATGATGATGATGATGATGATGATGATGATGATGATGATGATGATGATGGTGATGATGATGATGATCGTGGGGCTGATGCTGGTGATGATGATGATGATGATGATGATGATGATGATGATGATGATGATGATGATGATGATGATAATGATGATGATGATGATGGTGATAGTGATGGTGGCGATGATGGTGGTGCTGATGGTCATACTGGTGATGATGATGATGATGATGATGATGATGATGATGATGATGACGATGATGATGATGATGATGATGGTGATGAATGCACTGTCCTTGCTGAAACGATGCATCATCGTCGTCATCATCAGCAAGCCCAGGTCAGTCCGGCCTTGCAAAATCCTGCGAGATCTTGCAAGATCCTGCAAGTCCCGGGTCAGTGCGCCCCTGGCCCTGCAGGATCTGCAAGACCCGGCGCCCTGGCTGACCCCCGTTTGCATTGACCCCCGTCTCAAGGCTGCCAACACGAGGGGCAAGAGGAGGAATTGGCAGGACGGAGTCCACAGAAGAAGAGAAACCTTGATAAACATAAACTTTAGGCGCTCCGCGCGGATTTCGTTTATGTGCAAGACCTCCCTCCGTGGCGCGGAGCGCGCCAGGGGCGGCGCCGGAGGCGCCGCCAGAGGGGCCCAGCGCAACCCAAGACATCCGCGCGGAACTCCGAACATTTATGTTTATGTACCGCGAGCGCCGGGGTTGGAGCACATGCGGAACAGCCGCGGGTCCCACCCCGGATGCGCAAATATGCGGAGGCACTGCCTGCCGGGCCACAACATGGCCGACCGAGCGCTGGAGAAGCATACCTGGCCGCACGTGTATCCAGCTCTCGCCCCCAGGCTGGCCGCGTCGTGCCTACCCTCAGGTCGGGCAGTCCTCCTACAGGTGGATTTTGGACAACAGATAAACAGTAACCAACACATGCTCAACAAATGCCCCAAAATACCCGAACAAATCGTCCTCATATGATTTGTTTTTGACTATTTCTGAATAGTCCTCCTGTAGAGGGACATGCCTGACTTAGGCCTACTCCACCTTCCAGGCCCCCAAGCCCCCTCGAGTCCCAAGAAAATCACGACGGGAGGTTTTCCCGTATATCTTCGGCCTCCGGGGGCCCTCGCTGGGCCTCGGGGCCGTCAAGAAACGACTCAGAATGAGAAACCGGTCCCAGGGAAGGTGTCGAGACCTCTGGGGGTCGACGTCATGAACAAAAATCTGACGTTGGAAGGAAGTCTGGGGAGATGCCCTCGCCCGCGGGCACGGCGATCGGGTCTTGTCGGGCGGGCCTGGGCATGCGCCAAGTGGACGACAGCACGACCTGGCACCGCGGTCCAGCGGCCTGGGGGCGGGGCGGGGGGGGCGGCGGCAAGCGACGGACGAGGGGACGAGGGAGGGCGGAAGGAGAGAGGCGGAGGACTGTGCGGGGCGGGATTGGGACGGGATGAGGGGAGACGGGGGGGGGGGAAAGGCATCGCTGCAGGTGGGCACGAGGGGCAGGTCCAGGACGAAAGGGAGCTTGAGGTGACGCCCAGCGCGGTGAAGGGCGACCTTGGAGAGGACCAGAGACGCCAATTTAAGCCCTGCGGGCAACTAGCCGGCAGCCGCCGCCCAATCTGCTGGCCGCGCGAGCCCCCTCGCGTCCGGCGACTCGGGCACGCTGGCTGCGCGGCCCTCGGCTTCCGCGAGCGGATCCGCCACCGTTGCACTCCGCCAGCTGCAGGAGCGCGCCGCAGCCGAGACCCCTTCTGGAGCGCCCCGAATAGCGGACGGACGACGCAGACGCTTTCTCAGATTGCGCGCCGCCGGCTCGATGCTTGCCCACGGAGATACCCGGCGACTCCCAGCCCGTTAGGAATAGACGTAAACCTTTGCATCGTCGCCCACAAGCACGGGCCCTGCACACGCTGCTGGCGCAACGCATGCCGCCGCCAGTGGCACGGGCAACGCCGGACAGGTCGAGCCCGATCATCTCTGCAGATGTCGGCAGAGCAGCCATGGGCTCGCCCGCGCTGGTCGGCCCGATTATCACCAGCACCTCCCGGAAAACCCCGCTGGGTTGCCTGGCTTCGCCAGCCCGGGGCGCGCAACTCCTGTGTGATGGAGCCGATAGGCCTGGCTCCGATGCCGCGGTGCTCTCGGAGCGTGCTCCGGCCGCGGCAGGCCTCGCTTTCGGTAGCTTGCATCCCTCTTTTCGCTCCCGCAGAGGGGCCAGGCGTCACTGCGCGCCTGGGCAGCGAGACAGGGGTGCTGCCCGGGTTACGCACACCGAGATCCTTCAGTTCAGCGATCTGGCCCTTGAGCGTCTCCATGGCGACTGGAGATGAACTGATGAAGTTCGACGTCCTGGCATACCGAAATCCATCACTTCAGTAATCCTCGCCCCTCCAGTCGCCGTGGAGACGCTCAAGGGCCACATCGCTGAACTGAAGGATGTCCGGGGGCGCACGTGTGCGGCCACGGGCTTGTGCTGCCCCAGCGGCGAGGATCCGAGCCGCGCTCAAAGGCAGACGTGCGATGCACACGGCCGAGTCGGGGCCGCCGCGCTGAAGCGCGCACACAGCCATGCAGCCACCGTGCCACCGCCGGGCGGGAGCGGGAACGAAGCGGGAGAGCTCTGGCCACGGCGAGTCTCCGCCGCTGCACCGGGAGGTTGGAGGCGCACGTGGCGGGATCCACACGTGGGTCCTCACCGGGCCACGCGCTGGACACGCTGGCGGAAGCTCTGCTTTTCGGGGCCATGGAAGGGCCGAGCGCTGCAGAGAGAGAGAGAGATGGCCACACGTACACCCAGCTCTCGCCGGGGCCAGCCGCGCTGTGCGCATCCAGCTTCCTGGTAGGCTCCCCGTGCCTGGATCTGAAGAGCAGCCCGAAACAGAGCCCCACCAGAGCAGGGGCAGCGCCCGAGGCACGCCAGGGGGCTCCAGCGCCGGTCCGAGAAATCCGCGCAGACCTCCGAAAACTGCGCCTGCGGTCGGGAACTTCTGGATGGCGTGTCGCGCCGCCAGCTCCAGCCCACCACGCTGCCGGGCCCCAAGGCGTCACGGTCTCAAGGCTTCCCGGGCCTCCCGCCCCGCGGAACGGAGCAGCACGCCATCCGCTCACATGAGAGAGCGTGTCCTCGAGGCCGCCGCCGCGAGACGCGGCGCATAAAGCTCCTGACCGCACGTCGCCATGCGCACGCGCGCGAGCACTTGGAGCATCGTCAAATCACGACAAGAGCCCAAGACCCCATCTTGAGGTGAAGCCATCGAGACGCCGGGATCTCAGGGTGGCGTCGCTATGTGCTCCCCGAAGTGCTGCGAGGCCCAGCGCCGCGCGCTCCGCGCCCCGCCGCAGGGGCCGCGCACCCACGACCCCCGCCGCGTCGCCCGCGGTCCCTGCTTCCAGGGGTGGCGGGGTTGGTCCTCTCTCGTCGCAGGGGGCCCGCGCGTCGCGGGCCGGGCGCTATGCTGGGGTCCCATATGGGGGGGGGTATACTGACCCAGGACTCCCCCAGGACTTTGTGGGCCCTGGAAACGGCAGGGCCGTTTTTTTACCGTTTCCAAAAACATGCCCCTCGAAAATGGAAACGGCAAAAAAACGGCGACCCGAAACGGCAGCAAAAACGGCTCCAGGATTGGAACCGGAGCCGGAACCGGTCAAAAAACGGCGACGGAATCGGTAAATCAACGGCGTCGGAACCGGCAAAAAAAACGGCCCTGTCGTTTCCAGGGCCCACTAAGACCCAGGGCACTGCAAACGCGGGTCAGTCGGGCTTTGCAGGATCCTGCAGGATCCTGCGCGACAGTCCGGGTCGATTGCGATTGACCCGAAAGGGGGTCCAGCGGTAAGGGGGTGTTGCAATAGATGGGGGGCAATAGCTTTGCAAATGTACTGCGCCAGAGAATTGGATTGCACAGTATTGCAGCTATCATGTATTGCACGCGAAAATCCAACAATACATTTGCGCACAGAAATGTGTTACGCGCCCCAAATCTATAACAACCCTAAAAACCTATTGCACCAAATCTTTTCCACCACCCCTTTTCAGCTGGACCCCCTTTTCGGTCAACCAAATCAATGCAACTCTCGCTCTGCAGGATCCTGCAAGATCCGGCTCCCTGGCTGACCCCTGTTTGCATGGACCCCTGGCTCTTACATCTCGACAGGGCTCTCCGCCGCGCCCCAGGGAGGACCGACGAGGACAGCGTATTGCTCCCCAGGCCCCAACGGTGCCGATCGTACCGTACCGTTTGTAGTCGCTCGCAGATCCTCGATGAAGAAGCTGAGTCGACCAGCTCGGGACAAGACGGCTACTGCGGGACCTCCTCCCCTGCATGCGACAAGTGGCCGCTGAAGCCGCGGGGGATCTCCGCACAGCGCCGCGGCCCGTTCTCCTTGAGCGTAGCCGAGGCGGAAAGCGCCAGCTTCCTTACGCACGGGACCTCCCGACCTGGAAGCTTTTGTTATTGTTTATATGTTTGTTTGTTTTCTCCACGAGCCGTGTCCAATGTTCCTCCTTCTCCTCCTTCTGGTTTCCCTTGCTCCTCCTCCGGATGCCCTTGGTGCTGGTAGACTGGTGGAGGTTGCGGACCCTGGCCACGGCATGTTGACGCCACTCCTGGATGCTCGCTGCAGATCGAGGGATCACCTGGCCCACGACCGGATCGGTGGCCGCCTTTGCTGATCGGCCGAGTGCTCGGGCGTTGTCGTGGGGGAATTTCTTCGAGGCCAGCCTGTGGACTTCGGAGGATGGGGGTCATGACGAGGAGGAGGAGGCGGAGGAGGAACAGGAGGAGGCCAGGGGAATGGGATGCAGCAGGAGGATGAGCGGCAGGGGAGGCATGACGATGAGCAGCCGTAGGAGTGCGACACGACTGGGAGATCGGCAGAAGGGGCTCGAGAAGCAAACGAGCAAGGATGGAGGGGGACAACTGAAGGGAATGGACCAGCACTACGAGAAGATGCGAAGGAGCGGCTACATAGGAGGAGGGGCGGCAAGGACACGAGGGCGGGGCGTCGCTAGGGGGGGGGGGGGGGGCGATCAATGGGCGGGGCGAAAGGTATACTTTCCGGGCGCTGTGGGATCCCCTTGGGGCCCTACATGGCCCCTTTCCTGCAGCCCTCGCTGCCCCCTATTCATCGCCCCCGCCCGTTGTGCAACGCCCAAGTGGGGGGAGGGCGAGAGGGCCAACGAAACAAGCGGGGTGGAGGACGAGGGGAGCGGAGGAGAGAGGAAGGGGGTGGGAATGCAGACGGGAGAGAAGAAGGGGGTGGGAATGCAGACGGGAGTGGGACGAGGGGAGACGGGAGGGTGGGCAGAAAGGGCCGAGGAAGCATGGGTGAGGAGGAGGACAGGAGGAGGAGGAGGAGGAGGAGGAGGAGGAGGAGGAGGAGGAGGAGGAGGAGGAGGAGGAGGAGGAGGAGGAGCGGTGGCTACTGCGAATGTTGTAATCAAAGGGAGAGGGGCGCAACCCTCCCAGACGAGCAGGGGCAGGTGTAGATCACCCCCCCAGACCAATCCATGAGAGGGCGGCCTTGTGTCCTGACGCCCCGGAACCTCCAAGACAGCTTCAAGCAGACCCCCCACATGAGACCACCCCCCGTTTGATTGTGAAATGCGGACTACTCTGCGTGCTCCTGAAAACCAAAACCCCTAGGCCATCCCAGCAGACGGTTCAGGCTCAGAAAGGGGAGATCGGACACCCAGATGGTGTCACAGGACGTCGTCGTGGTGACTGCAATTGTGGTTGTGGAGGCACTGGCGCCTGTATGAGTAGTTGTGGGAGGAGCGGGGGTCGCAATGTGGTCGCGGTGGTGTCATGCGTAGAGATGGTGGTGTCGGTAGTGGTAGGGGTAGAAGTCATGAGATTGGTGCTTGTAATCCTGGTGGCAGTGACAATTGCAACCGTAGTAATGGTGGCAGTGGTAATGGCATTGGAGTTGCACTCGTAGTGGTAGTGTGTTGGAGAATGGGAGCGACACAGAGTGCTGCTGATAGTAGAAGTGGTGGTGATGGTGTCGGCATGGCTTCCAGCGCCGCTGATGCTGAAGCGGTCTGTGCTGCTGGCGATGTGATAATCCCACAAGCCCCTAAGCTAATGTGATCTAGCGCGTTCTGTATTTTCTCCTCCAGAAACCCTCTCCCTTCGCGGAGGGGTGCCCTCCCCCTCCTTTTCCTAAGGTGATTTTGGGGGGTTCGCGAGGTGGCAGGAGGTCCTTTTTCGCCGAAGATGGCTCCAAGAGGGCCTCCGATGCTCCTCGAATGCCTCCAAGACGGCTCACGATAGCCAGCGATGGCTCAAGATAGCTTCCGACGATGGCCACAAGACGGCTCCAAGTGCACTCGCAGCCTTCTCTGGACCCCCCCTGGAGGCGAATACCGTCCAAAACTATTGGACAACTCAATGATTTGTGCCTTCTTGCCTTTTCGATTCACATCTGCCTCTGAGGCCTCAAGATGGCCTCCAGGGCTCCCAAGAGGGCTCCCAGAGAGCCCCCATGACGGCCCGCGACGGCCCAAGGCGGCCCCATAAGCGCCCAGCAGCGCCTCAAGAGCGTCCCACGAGGGTCCCAAGAAGCGGTTTGCCTCCTGTCCTCCTCCCCCTCCTCCCGCTCCTCCTCCTCCTCCTCCTCCTCCTCCTCCTCCTCCTCCTCCTCCTCCTCCTCCTCCTCCTCCTCCTCCTCCTCCTCCTCTTCCTCCGCCTCCTTCCCTCGCCCCCCCCCGCGGGGCCCGTGGATGGCCAGAAGAGGCCCTCCAAGGCCACCCCTTTGCTCCCAGAGATCTCCCTGTTCATCTTGGTTGCCCGCTTTGTATCACTATACATGATATGTGCCTCTCCGTTTCTTTTCCCGTCAGCTCTCTGGGCAACGTTTCTGAACTGGCTGGTCGGTATACGAGTGAAGACTGTGGTGGTTGTTGTACCTCTGGCGCCGTCGCCATGGTCCATGACCGGTGTCTGTTTTGGTGCGGGCCCCGTGCGACTCGAGCGAACAGAGTGGCGGCGGCCGCTGGCC